GTCCACAGGTCACGTCTTATTACCTAGAATATGCACTATGTAGTTAGGGCCATTGGTGTATTATAAGAGTGACCAAAAAATCCATTAAAGTAGCCAAAAGTGAACGTGCGATAGTTGATTATCTCCCAGTGGTTATGAACACAGTTGTCGTGTCATTAAGACAATGTAAAGTGAACGTGAGATAGTTGATTATCTCCCAGTGATTATAAACACAGTTGTCGTGTCATTAAGACAATGTAAAGTGAACGTGAGATAGTTGATCATCTCCCAGTGATTATGAACACAGTTGTCGTGTCGTTAAGACAATGTAAGGTGAACGTGAGATAGTTGATTATCTTCCAGTGATTATGAACACAGTTGTCGTGTCATTAAGACAATGTATTGTGTCATTAAGACAATGTAAAGTGAACGTGAGATAGTTGATTCTATCCCAGTGATTATGAACACAGTTGTCGTGTCATTAAGACAAGGTAAAGTGAACGTGAGATAGTTGATTCTCTCCCAGTGATTATGAACACAGTTGTCGTGTCATTAAGACAATGTAAAGTGGACGTGAGTTGATTATCTCCCAGTGATTATGAACACAGTTGTCGTGTCATTAAGACAATGCGTCGTGTCATTAAGACAATGTAAAGTGAACGTGAGATTATGAACACAGTTGTCGTGTCATTAAGACAATGTAAAGTGAACGTGAGATAGTTGATTCTATGAAAAATAAAATTAGTATAAAATTTGTATTGATTTTTATACCTTAAAGAAGCTAGTTCTGTATAGTTCGCCTATCTGCTAATTCTGGGTCTAACTCGTAAGATATGAAATAGCATGACAGTCTATAAGTTTACAAATAACATTGAAATTCTACCAAGAAGCTGAAAGACAATTTCAAGTTAAACGTACATACCATTGCAACGTAAAAATCTACCAGTACCTATTTTCATAGTCGATAGGTGGCACCATTGTTTTTCTCAGTTTGCTTTATGATATGTTAAACCCGCCAGATAAAATTGCTTAATTAACAGCCGTAAACACAAGTGACTTGTGGATTGTATATATATATTTATCGGTAATTAGAATTAATGATACCATGGTAAGTGGTGTTCTACAAAGATTTTGTTAACTATTTAACTGAAGATATAACGTGAACATTTTGGGGACATTTAAAAACATTGTTGCAAGTTAATGTATTCTATCAAAATCAGGAATTTCTGTATATTCACGTAAAATGCCATTCATATTAATACATCCCATCAATCTGACGAACCACAATAACTACAATACTGCATGTGTGGTAGTTTGAATTTAAATGCTTTATTATAATTGTTATCAAGTGACTTATTCAGGGACTAGGCGTGGTCTAGTAGTTAACATACCAGACGGTAAATCTTATGGTCCACAGGTCACGTCTTATTACCTAGAATATGCACTATGTAGTTAGGGCCATTGGTGTATTATAAGAGTGACCAAAAAATCCATTAAAGTAGCCAAA